AGAGCTCCTCTTAAGTGAAAAAATGAAAGTTCTCGACTTAAGGAAAGACTTAGGTTGCTAAGATCTACAGTAAGAATAAATTTTCTCTCCTTGAAATTGTCTAATTTATAAATTACACTTTATCATAGGTATATATGTATAGAAACATCATAGTATAAATAGGATATATACATATATTTCACAAATATTAAAATGTGCTTAACACACATATAAATGTAAATAAATTAACTACACATGTGTCTGGGAGGGAGGGGAGGAGAAGGAAGGAGACAGAGGAGACAGATGAGACAGATTGAGCAAGTGTGCCCACACTCTAGCTTAGCATAATGCCTGGAACATAGTAAACACTCATGAGAAGCAACTCTTGTTAAGTATTCAGGTAACAATTCCACTCTGGGCATTCTGATGAGGTATTAACATGTTTGGTATAGGGAAGATCAAAGTGTTTTTTCCAAGCAGATACACCCATGTTCAAATTTAGTTCTGCAATTGTTTAGCTGCATAATCTTGGTAAAATTATGTAAACTTCTGAATCTCAAAATCTTCAAATGTAAAACAAGATTAATAAAACTTATTTTGCAAGACAAAACGTATTAAACACTTGGCACAAATTTGACATGTAGAATGTATACAGTATATATTATTTTTTCCATGTTCTTACACATGTTCTTTAACCGCACAATGTCTTACTTCTTGAACTTTAAAATACATAAAAACTACACAGGGCTATTGTGTAGATTAAATGAGATGATATATAAACTATCAAAGCAACCACTAGCACATACTTGGATTTCAATGTCTTTCAACTCCACTTCCCTAGATTTATACAAAATCTACACAGACACCAACATAACATAGGTCTGAATGTACAATATCTTACATAGTCTAAGAAAAATTTAGTCTTTGCCAAATATTTCTAAAAACTCAACAAAAAAGCTGTCAATATTAAAACACATCACTGAGAGAAATCCAAGAGTCAATTTCCACTTGCTATTTCCATTTGCTAACCAAGTCAGTCATTTACAGGTGTTGGTTCCACAGAATATAAGTTGTGGGAGGGTCAGAGCCATATTCTGTTTGCTTACCTTTATATTGCCAGTGCCTAACCGACTGTCTAGAAAACAGTTTTCAAAAACATTTGTTGAACCAATGAGTAAAAGTCATTCCTAGCAAAGCTTCATCAGGATCATGGAGAGTCAGGTTTCATCTAAGTTGAAACGACAAACTGCCTCCAAAGTAAAAGCTTTTCGTCTTCTGGAACATTCAGTGTATAGTCTGGGCCTACCTTCCTACCAACCTGCTGATTATATGGTCATTTGATTGTCAAAATAACTCTGTTTCAGCTTCAACAGGTCTCCCACCGGGAACTATTTGCATGTATTTTGGACATTGTTTTTAAAATTACCATTTCCCCCAAAGAGTAAGGTCTGAATTAATGAGGTTTTACTAAATTTATATTTCTATGGTTGGTTTCACCTTTGAACAAACACATTAAAGGCAAGTGATAAAGCAGAATATTTTCTTAGAATTGAATCTACATGTAAATTTGATCTTGTAACATTTGCACACAAGGTGACAATTTCTGATGCAGTAGGAAGCATTACAAATGTGCAGAAATCAATTCAGCCATTAGGAAAAAGCAAGAGTTGCTAAGAAACCATATTCCAAATAAGGAATATTATACTGGTGACCCAGACAATTACCATATGCCTGACATGACATCAACACAAAGCTTAACAGATTTTTAAAAGCACTGTGACACTGAATTGTTCACACCATACTTGCAACTCAGATAATTAAAGAGTGGCCTTTCAGTGATGCAAAAATTCATTTGTAGAAACAGGAAAATACAAAATCGAAGTGAATTAATAACAATGTAAGATACTTCCTAAGTCTTACCAAGTCTCTCCTGCATATCTAGGATGCATGTATGTCTGTGGTACACAGTGTCTCATGACTTCATTTAATTGAAGTCCATTCAATTTTTAAAAGAATCTACCTTTCAAATAGATATATTCTCTTTCTATGTGTTTGTATATCCAGAGGGGGAAAAAAAACTTTTAAGAATATATAGCAAAATGTACACTGTGGTTATGATTGGTAAGTAAATTATAGTAAATTATAGTAAGTAAATTATATATGATTGGTAAGTAAATTATAAATTATGCCCTGTCTGCTAATTTTCAGGGGTCATTTTACTTTTTGTAATTTCAGAAAACTAATAAAGTTACTTTGAAATAATTTTTAAACTTTTATTTGTAGCTAGATACGAGATTTTGAGACAGAATAACAAACCAAAGACATAAAACCTAACACTGTGGTTAACGGGGAGATAGCACATTCCTGTCTTACATATTACTCTATCTTGCTACTTTCACATCATTTTTGGTATCGTAAGATCCAAGCTGCTCATGCTGGCATATGTGCATATGACAATTAGCCATAAATAGAGTAAGTTAAACGGGCAGCAAAAGATAAAAGCTCTCTTGCTCAATAATGCCAGAAAAAAGAGACCATATTCCAAAAATAATGGGCTAACCTACCCTCAAATGTGTTAGTGAAATCATATCTTAATGTCTCTTTAGGAGTGAGAATTGGCAGGCAGAGATTCTTATTCTTTACATAAAACTCAGATAAATAAACACATGACCTACCTAACTGCTTGGAGGCTGCACGTTTGCAAAGCACACCACACAAGAATCAAATAAAAATGAATGCCTTTACTAACACAAGTTTTAGACTTTTATTAGGACATTGAACAAATCGAGAGAGCACCCTTAACGCCTTATAATCCCTGAAGGGGGCATTCTCTGGAGACAGACTAAAATAAATGAAATAGATTATAACCTCTTTAGAAGTACTTACCCTATAATGATATTATTTAACAGAAAAACTATAAAATATTTAAACCATTTAAACTAAAGAATGTATTTCTCTCCTTAAAGTGTAGAAGGGAGAAGACTGCTACACAAAATCAAACTGAGCAATTTTGTATTTTACATGCAAAGCTTTATTCAGATGAATTTTGCTTCTTGCCCCTTGCTTGGTTTTTCCTTTCACTAACTTATTATTACTATTTTTTCATGTAGCAAAAACATGCAAATACCTTCACAAAAGAACTGCTTGGAAATCTGTTTGACAAATATGAAACTCTTCAGCAAGACCAGAACTTTTAGAAATGTGTGCCTAATATTTTTTTCACTGACTGAAAATATGGTTAAAAGTCTGTGACCATATTATATTAGAATCAGTCATGATTAAAGATAAAAGCTAAAATAAACTAGCAATGGAATCTATCTCATCAACATACACCATATGTAATATTATGTATTAAATCATTATGCCGACATCTCATAGAAGGATTATAAGGCATTAAGGGTGCTCTCTCTCTTAACGTGCAGCTCTCCAGCATCATGCCAGAAGAGTAGAGTAATTCTATGCTTAAAATAAATATTTTATTCAATATGTAAAAGCAATTAATTAGAATATAAGACACAATCTTTGAATTTAAAGACTACCCTACGAAAAACATAAATATAACATTTAAAATATGTAGCTTCTGCATTACAATCCACATTAAAAAAATAAATAAAAGGAAAATAAACAGAAAAAAAAAACAATGGAATAAGATGGATAGTGGATGTTCCCAACTCAATCTGGCTGGTGATCTTAATTGTCTTTTTCCCTTCTACCCACACACATATAACTGAACATATCTCTCTTACCTTTTAATTAAAAAATTAATCATTTTAGTGCAATTCTCTAATATGGATTACTTACTTTCATTCTCTTAAAGAGAACATCTAGTATAAACAAATATTCTTGAACACTAAAGCCATGAAAAGTCTAACACAAAATAATGAAATACTAAAAACAATAGGAAAAATTTGACAATATAAAATTTGTTTAACATGCTTTTATTTATAAGTCTATAGAGTATAACAATTAAGAACTCTGGCTATTTTTTTATTCTTCTTTTGAATAATTCTTCATAGAATTATTGTGAAACTTAATTAAGAGTGGTTACACAGAAAGCACTTCGAACTGTGAGCGCCTGACATACATTTAAGTGCTTCTATAGATGTTATTTATTGTTATCCTTCATTAGCTAGTTTAAATACAGTTAGATGTTTCTGCCTTTTCTATTTAAAAATAATATCATCTGTAACGTGGGTTGAAAATAGGCATAAATCTAGATTAGAGCGAATTATTAGTAAGATAAAACTCTTATAAAAAATATACATCACTTTGAACTTCCATTTCCAGTAAAAGCAGATTATATAATTTGAGCAACCCGCTGAAGGTCAGCTCGCAAGGCAATAAAAGAGTATTGCAGCAAGATATGAGTGAAGATGAACTTGAGGAGAGGTGAACACGAATTTCAGGGTGCTTTTTTCTGCGATAGGCATCTGCTGACTTCAGAAGTGACTGAGAGGTGAAAAAATGAGCAGGACTTCTGACAACCTCACAAGACTACAGGGACAAAAATTGAAGTCCACAGATTGCCAAGGGGAGGCCTCAGTAAATCCTTCATACTTTGAGATGAGACCCTGACAGGCAGCACCACAGGTATCAGGGTAATACCATCAACATAAGGTGAATCAGAAGTAAATTGGCCCTCCTACACACTGAAACCGTGTGTAGGTTTCAGTAATCTCTTCCGGTCAGAAGCACATGTAAATTTTCCTTATAGGAGGTTAACATCATTCTCAGTCTCAAATTATTTCTATGATTTTTTACATATAACGTCCAGCACTCGAACAAAAAATAATAATAATAATTAGGCACACAGAAGACAAGCAACATGACTAAAAATTAAGTGAAAGAACACACAATGTAATACCACAGGGGCACTAGAGAATGGATTTATCAAGCCAAGAGTTTAAATTAATTACGGCTGATACGTTAAAGGAAATAAATAATATGAAAGTTTGTCAGATAAATGGAAACTTAAAAAACAATAAAATGGTATGAGTGACATTAATTATTAAATGGATGAGCTTCACAGATGATTTTCATAACCAATTGACAGGAGTATCAGTGAGCTGGAAGATAGAACTGAAGACAGTATACAGACTTAAATGCTGAAATTAAACAGAAGCGAAATACAGAAGAGATTCTGTTGTAACCTTATCTACTGGTAAACTCTGAAAAAATACTTTAAACATATTATTTTTTAAAAACATAAATACATTTCTAGTACCAAATAAATTCACAAGTAGAATGTAGATCTATTAAAAATATATTAGGCATAAATTTTACCAGTAATAGTATATAGTATTTTTGTATATTATTGCTATTGTAAAACAATGATTTACTAAAACTGTCACTATCTAGGAGATGTGCATTATCTAGAAGATTAAAAGTAAATTAAAATGTGTTTCTTGGATAAACATGAGAAGCAAAGATAATTGGGCTCAGTATCTTAACAGGAAATTCATATAATGCCTATGTAGTTCTTTCCGATCACTTAGCTTTATCTCCTTAGATGTGGATTCTGGAGGGAGGATATTTTGAATAAGTATTCGCACTTCAGGGTGCCTAGTACTAATGAGAATTTTATAAATAACCAATTATCAAAGAATCACAGAGAATTAATTCATTATCAAATACTTTTTTTTTTCTTTTTTCTAAACACAATCTTGGGCTATAATCTCACGAGATTAATTAAATATTGCAATATTTGCAAAAAGCAAATCCCTTCAAATATTAAGATAACAACACCAGGTTTCCTTTGTAAATAACAACTACTTTAAAATTAATTGGAAAATATTTCGTAATCTCAAAAAATCCCGTAAACTCATTAGAAGCCTTAATTGAAGCTTAAGGAGCTAGATTTAATGTATTACAGTGCATGTAAGTTGTACATTAATATTCCTGCCGTTGAACTAGGTAGTGAGAAGAAACTCATAGCATTACCCTGATTTACAATTGAGATTGCTAAACACGTTAGTATTACAACATGATTATACCCCTTTTTTTATTCTATTTCACAATCTCTCTATAATTGCCTCATTATAAAAATGTACTATTCTCTAAACTAATGAAGAAATTTTGCATTTATATGTCTATGCGATGAAATTCAATGAAAATACTTTTTGAAAACTGAAATCCAGAAGTAAAACTTAGGTATCTGGACATACTCAGCCTTCTTCGAAAGTTTTAAATCATGAAAATACTTGTCTTTCTACAATATGTTTAATCACATATTCTAGTCAGTCCTCAACCCAGCTTCTCCCTTCTTACCACTTTTTTAAAAAAGAATAAAGCACAAACAGTAATAAATGTTTTGTTATTTTAATCAAAGAGTGGTTAAACTATTAGTAAAAGTCTTTCATCACTAAAAACTCTATTTATAATACTTCGTTAAGATTAAGTTTACGAGTTAATGAACAACATAAAATTATGTAACTTTCTAATGAAATCACCATAGAGCTAGTTTAAACAGAGGGGAGAGAATATGAGTCTGATTTTACTTTTCTTCAATTGTCTATTGTTTAAGAAATAAGGAAATCAGATTCCCTCTAGGGAGGAAAAAAATGAAATATGCATAATGCTGGCATTTCCATATATTTAGCCAGTAGAATAAACATGTTGATAAATTACAAAAAAATTCTTAATCATTATTTTTAAAGGCAGTCTTAAAGTCACTTTGGGCTAAATTTTCAGAATTTATTGTATAAATAGACCATATTTGTGTATGTTTAGTAGGTACAGTCTAAACTAGCCTCTGAGTTTCATTAGAGTACTTATAGAAAAATAATTTGCTTGAATATTATAAACCGAAGAAGTTTTGCTTTTTTTTTTAATTTAAAAATTAACCCAGCCAATTTTCCAGTAATGATTCAAGGACATTCATTACCAATCATCTGAAAGCAAATATAATTGATAATTCAGGTTCCTATTTCCATCATGACAGGTAGCTCAAAAACTTATAGGCATATAAAAATTATTAATTTACTTTTCAAAATTTGAGAGGTTTGGGGAATTTTCTTTTGAGCAATTATTACAATTCGAATAGCTTAATTTTAAAATAGCCTAAGAACTTAGATAGTTTGAAGTAAACAATCGGCCGATCACAAATCTAATGAACTCTGACACCCAAGCATTTTTAATGAAAGATTCTTCTAATAAATTTAGAAATGATCCATGACACCAAGGTAGGAGCCAATTCCAAATCAAATTAACATGCCAAAAAACAAACCCAAACAATTAAATAATATAAATAATATAAATTAATAATAAAGCTAAAATTATTAAGGTAGTTTTATTATTTTGAATTCCCTTTCTGCTTTCTTATTAAATCTTTATGGACATTTCCTCTTCTGATTCAATAAGACTGATTCATAAGACAGAACTAATGTTATATCCTGCAAATGAAAATATAGGTGAACACACTGTAAAACAGAATTCCCTGGTTTTGTTCTTTGGTAATTTAACTTTGTTTTGACAATGCTGAATCAATACAAACGTTGTATCTCCTATAAAAGAAAATCCAATATAGAAAAACAATCCCAAATGATAACATGACCTAACTGGTAATCTTGAAAATTTCAGAATCGATAGAAATTAAAAGTAGAATGTATATATTTACAGTTTGCAGCATATCTGAGGCAGTATTCCTTTTGTTTGTTTGTTTTTCCTGACATTGGCATAAGTGTCATTCACATACTTGAATAACTCAATAATTATGTCCTGAGAGGACTTAGATTAGATTTTTTTAATGTTCCTTGCTTTTGTTTTCACCTCTGGTGGGAGTCTTTCTCTTTACCCATTTTTTAAATTGTCAAATGTAAACATGTGTGAACATAAAATGAGTAATTTTGCACTATAACCCCTATGTTCACTTCTCCTACTGCATCCTTCCCTTTCCCATTATCTTCTTTCTTTCTCCTGGAGTTATGCAACATCTTGAATTTTGTACTAATCATTCTCTTTCTTTTACACTTTTCCATCAATGCAGGTATTTCTAAATAGCATACTTTTCCAATTTTCCTAGTTTTGAAATTTAATTTAATGGAATAATACTACAGCATTCCTCTGTGCCTTGCTTCTTTTGATCAATATTATTGTTTACATTCATCCATGTTGATGTCAATAGCTGAAGTCATTCATTTACCCAACTCTATAGTATCTTAAGGCATAAATATATCACAGCTCATTCATACTATTAAAAGAATATTACAGTTATTTACAACTTGAGGCTATTATGAAAGCATTGCTGTGATTTCTGCTACACATGCACAAGTATCTCCCTGGAGTAGACATCTCGGAGAGGGTTATAGGAAAAGCACAAATTCAACTTTACTAGTTAATGCCAAGGACACTGTATCATTTAGACCTCCATCAGCTATATGTGAGATTTCCT